CAGATGCAAAAGATGAGGAATGCCAACTTACTTCAAGTTTTTTTTTTCCATAGACTCACAATAGGACTGGACTACTCGTACGTTAACTCGAGATTCATATAACTGATAGAATAGAGTTAAAGCAATATATGTAGAAAGCAGGTGAAATAGGTATAGGATGACCACGAGCTGATGCAACTACACAACCATTCCGCCGCGTTAGTACCAGACATCGAGAGGGCCACGTCAAATCTTTCGTGTGAGGACTTTGTGGCCTGAGGCGCAAGGCATCCTTCCGGTTAGTCCTTCAGCCTGGGAGTATAACAAGGTCGTACATTCGTCGCGACAGTAGCGTTCAAAAGTCTTCGGCCGAAAGCTCCCGCGCTTTTCGTTCATAACCTTTTTCTCAGTGTTACAAATCGTGCGAAATTTTGATATGCTTAACTAAGACATATTCCATACTATCCAACACTACTTGACTGCGAAACAGCAATATTCACATAACTAGAGCAAGGTGTTTGTTGCGGTAGCAGATTTTGCTAAAATCGCACTTTATGTGTGTTTTTCTTCTCATCTGTGTTCGGCATTAGCGCTCGTACACTTTAGACATTACAAAAAGAAAAGAAATTTCAGGAGAGTCATCATTCGTATTTTCAGTCGATTTTGAGTTTAAGCCGTTTGGGAATCTGGAACATGATCTGATTGCAGGTTGGTAGTGGTAAATATTCACAATACACCCACGCTCGAAATATAGAAATTTCGCATGATTAGATCCAGTAGGAAAGGAGTTACGACTGAAAAGTTCAGCTGAAAAAGCATTCAGTCCTTCGGCCAATAAAGTAGTACTGAGTTCTGGCAGACCATTATAAAAATGTATTTGTTAGTTACTTCATGGAGCGAAACAATAAACAAAGCAAACATTAAACAAACTCACTTCAGCTCATCATTCGCTATAGGCAGTACTTCATGGAATGTTGCTTTCTCATAAAGAAACTCGCGGTGTTTGCGAGGCACCTCATGAGCTGGGTCGTATTCAGGCATACCAATAAGGCTTTTGAGCGCTACTGTATATTTCTCGGAGCGGTAGTCTTGGTTGCAGCAAATTGCCTAATCATTGTTTAAGCACAACTGGTCGAAGTCAAATGGATTGGGGACGTACCGATTCAACCATTTTTGATTATTCTGTTCTACCGATGCACGTCAAGTCATTTTCGCATAACCGCAATACTTCGATCCTTTTGTGTTTTGCCATATACAAAAGCCATCACAAAGGTTACAGTTTGGTGGTCCATCGACCCGAGAGCAGCTATCGCCACATCTACTAATGTACCAATAGTGATTGATAACGTAAGTTGCTCCCCCGACAGTGTGTATTAGGTACTTCGATTACACTCCTTAGATGTGAACTCCCTGAGAGCTTCCCAAAAGCTGATAATTCTCTTACCTAACAACTGCTAAGCAGCTATTTACGTAGCATGTAGCTCATGAAAGCAAAATTGCGGCGAGCTGCTCAAGTTATTGCTGGTTCACGAGTATTCAGGCAACATCTACTATTTGAAGGATTTCCATTAGTTGGTCTGTTCAATTGAATCCCAATATATCATGTTGTCATTGGGTCGTAACGCTGAACGTCATACGTTATAGGTAATGAGGCTAGATTCTTTCTACCAACCTCGAATTCTTTACGCACATCGATCTTTCTTTGTAGATTTTATGGATCGTTTTCGTCGTGCAATTTTGTGCCCGAAAAATATCTGGTTCCCTCGTTTTGTATACTGTATTGGCATGGCTTCAAAGTGAACCTTCGTTGCCACTTTGATTGATATTTCCTTTAGTTTGTCAAGATGGCGGCGCAAGCTCGAGTTGAGCCAGAACGAATTGAAGATGTTGTGCATCGTCCCATCGAGACCATCGCGAAGGGAATACGGACAGTTTTACTGGGCCCACCTGGTTCTGGAAAAGGAACGCAGGCCCCAATTCTGGCTGAGAAGTACCAGTCTTGCCACTTGTCTACAGGTACACAGTCGGTTCCTCTTTGTTGATGTGAAAGGAAGAGTAGAATGGTGATTTCCTTATGCAGGTGATCTGTTACGGGCTGAGATTTCTTCTGGATCACCACTTGGAAAAAAGATTAAGGAGTATATGGACGACGGAAAGCTTGTCTCAGACGAAATGGTCTGCGAGCTAGTTGACGTCAATCTGAATAAGGATGAGTGCAAGAACGGCTTCATTCTCGATGGATTTCCAAGGACGGTCGTTCAAGCCGAAAAGGTTAGCCATTTTTTTCAATTTCTTTGTATGTCTGTCAGCTCTATGACGGGTTCATCTCCACTCATAGAACGACTCATGTTGCTGCAGCAGAATTAATGTTATTTTTTGTACAAAGAATCAGTGTAAGTAATGTATGAATGTCTGTCTGGTCTGTTCTAGTGATACCTGGATTGATGTCCACGATCACAAACATAAATCAACTGTTCTAGCTAGAGGGGTTCTATAGTATTAATTATAGCCGTGTACTTCGTCGTTCCCCAAACTCACACTTTTACTGCATACATAACAAGTCGTTTCGAATAGGTAACCATCTCACCATAACTGCTGATTTTCATGGCCGCGTTTGAAGTGAAAGGAAGGACGCAGACTCACAAGGGGAAGATACCAGGTCGCAGTGGCCATCTAATTGTAAGATGGCATGTATAATGTCAAGCAAGTACCTCAAGCGCACTTTCCAAATCTGCTACACGATTCTGGGATCAGAGTTATGGGACTATTTCCTCCCTTGTGTTATACGCACCGTGTTGGCTTGGCCAGAAATGAACCAGTTCGTCTTAATTGACGTTTTTACAAAGAAAAAAGAAAAGAGATATCGGAACAATGGGTAAGCAATTTATGTACACATATGATAGTACAATACAAAGTGTTTGGAGTAAAAAAGTTTCTCAACCTGGGCGCATTCTAAGGAAAGAAAATTCATCACACCCATCACTCTCACGATTCCCGTTCAGATGAGATGAGAAACAAGTTTGCACAGGGGTTTCGAACTCTCCCGGATATGTCCCAGGTAGCCTGCTGCAAACAATGAATAAGAGAGGTTTTTTGAACTTAGGTGCGTTAAACAAGAAGTACTCTAATGAGACAAGAGGGATTACGGAGTCGCGGTTGCTAAGATGGACATTAAGATCATGAGTGATAACATAAGATACGATACGTTTAAATATGGCTTTACGAGGCAAGAAAAAGATATACATCAAGAGGTTAGATTTGGGATGTTGCGCCATACGGGATGTTGAGCACTTTTACCGCCTTGCCCGCTGATATAGCACCCTGAATTCATGGTCCTTGAATGAGCTCCATAAGTCGACAATCAGAAGAGACGAAGGCAAGTCCATTGATCCAACACAGGTCCTGACCCAGTCCAGCATCAGCTCCTTGCTCATCACGTGGGATGTACTTGCCCTGACCTCCAAGTGTGGAGCGCGGGAGCAACCCTTGGCCGGGAATCGGCTTTTGGATTCCTGTTAGAAGAGACAGTAATAAAGAACTTCACCTATAGTATTTTGAGAACACTGACCTGCATTACCACATAAAGTTTCTTCGCTAGGTGGCCATCAACAAAGAGGGTCCACATGACGGTAAAAGAGTGGGACAGTGCTGAAAACGACTGTGCCACCCTTTCAACTTTCTTCTCACCCTTCGAAGCAAGGGTCCTCGCCGATTGCAACCCTTTCACAAAACCACTTTGGTCCGCGTTGCATATTGTATCCAAGGCCGGCTCTCCATTTCTGGACAATTTCAAAAAGCATTAATGGGGTCATCGACAAGGATAGCCGGGTGGATAAGAGTGTAGGCTCACTTCTGCTCTTAGAAGGAGTGCGGGTTCGATCCCTGCCGAGGCAAGTCCATGCCTTGCAAAAATGCAAAAATGGGATCGGTTCCAGGGTCAGGTCCAGGTTGACAGGCCGGCTGATGGAGAAACCGGTCACAGTAAATATGTCTAAAGTTTCAAAGAGTATCAGTGATAAAGCTAGGTCGTCACCCGGAAGTGGCACACAGGACCCCCGCCCGCGATCTGTGGACATATGCAAGGGCTACTGAAGAGTGAACGACCTCGGCCAAAGATGTTAGTTCGAATAGGGACTCTTTAGTTCGAATAGGGACTCTAAATGTAGGATCGCTTATTGGGAAGTCCCGGGAGGTCACTGATCTCATGAAGCGCAGGAATATCCAAGTCCTATGTCTTTAGGAGACCTGCTGGAAGGGAGCAAAGGTCAGAGAATTTAGAGAGGGTCATACTCTTCTACAACGGATAAGACACCAAACGAAATGGTGTGGCCATAGCAGTGGCAGAGTCTCTGAGAGACTGTCTCCGCCGTCAACAGGATCAGCAGTCGAATCATGGCTGTGAGAGTAGACACGAAGGAGGGGTACTGAAGAGTAATATCAGTGTACGCACCTCAAGCCGGCTGCCCCGTATACGAAAAGGGTGAGGTCTACTTGAGCCTTGACGAGACCATCCGATCTGTTCCGGAGGGGGATTATTTCACCATAGCAAGTGATCTGAATGGGCACGTCGGCAGTGAAAGGGGGAGACTGGAAAGGGTAATGGAGATAGAGGAGTAGGAGACAGAAACGAAGAAGGAGAGAAAGTTCTTGCCCTGGCCATAGCTCACGACTTGGCAGTCTGCAGCACCTTCTTCGCGAAGAGGAAGTCCCAGAAGGTAACCTACAGCAGAGGAGGGAAAGAAACGGAAATAGTGCTAGTAAGAAGATTGTCCCTCAACTGTAAAGGACATTAAGGTACTGCGTGGAGAAGATCTGGCTCCACAGCACAGACCTCTTCCAGCAGACATAGCCATCGATCTTCCTGAGAAGTCGAGGGCAAGAACGGAACGGAGGATCCGGTGGTGGAAGTTGCACCAGTTCGAAAGAGAACACCTCAAATAGAGGGTACTAGAAGCTGGACTTCCAAATCCCGACGGGCCGATCCAGCAGGCCTGGGGCAACGCTGTGAGGGTCATCCTGCGATGTGCAAAGGAAACGCTGGGGAAACTCGAGGTGGTTTCCGAGGGGACAAGGAAGCATGGTTCTGGAATGATGCAGTCCATCGAGTTGTGAGGCAAAAGAAATCAGCTTACAAGCGCTGGCAAAAGACACGAGCTCCAGAGGACCTAGCTGCCTACAGAACTTCCAAGAGGCTCGCCAAGGCTGCTGTCGCGAAGGCGAAGAACACGGACGGCGTGAGGGTGGAAGGAATATTTCGACGGGCTCCTCAACGAAGAACTCGCCCGTAAAAACAGCTCCCAATTAGAGGGAACGGCTGGCCTCATCAATCTCTGGGCAGAGAATGAGGTGCGTAGAGCAATGGAAATGATGAAGGTTGGGAAGGCAACTGGTCCGGATGGAGTACTGATCGAGGCATGGAAGGCACTCGGAGAGCACGGGA